TCGTTAAACCAAACAAAAAAAAAAAAAAAAAAAAACTTCTCAACGCGTATATAATTTTCTTAAAACACGACTTGATTTGCATTCAAGTCATACTTAGCCTCAGAACAATAATGGTGTGAAATAGACTCACAACCAACTCCTGGATAGGACTACGAACAGTAAAGGAGGCTAACATAAGAACTTTCAATGGTCGTTAATTTCACGGTTCAAATAATATATTAATATATTTTGAAATTAGTTTTTTTTCTTATTAAATATGCTATTAATACTAATAATTGACTAAAATATTATCCATAAAATTTTATAAAATAATTAAAAAAGTCATTGTTTTATTTCCATTTTATTTCCACGGACAGGGTTAGTTAATAATTGGAGACTTTTTTGCTCAAATAAATGATAAATAAGATTATTTAAAAATTTATTATATGGAAAAGATATTTTCCTTTTCTTTTCATTTTCTTAATTTTTTTTATTTTTATTAATATATATATATATATATATATTATATAATTTTCATTTTATTTTTCTCTTACAAATGGGAGTTATGTTTTTGGGTCCATCTCGCACCCTTCATTTACTCGTCTCTCTCTGCTTCATTAGCCACGCTTCCGGCGCCACTCGGCTGCCGGCCGACGAAGGTACGATACGACGTCGGATCGGGGAGTGAAGAACTCCGTTTGGTTTGATTTTGATGTAGCATTTTTGGATTGATTTCAGTGGAGGCGTTGAAGGAGATCGGAAAGAGGTTGGGGAAGACGGACTGGCATTTCAACGTCGATCCATGCGGCGGAGTTAGCAGCGGTTGGATATCGAATCCGACGCCGTTCGACACTAATTTTAATAATACCGTCATCTGCAACTGCACCTTCCAGAACAATACTGTCTGCCACGTCACCAACATGTACGTTCCCTCTTCGCCTTCAAATATTTTCGAATATGAAACAATAATCCCATTTAATTTTACAATTTATCTAAAAAAATTACTTACAATTTTTAAAAAATATTAATAATACCACTAGAATTTCAATAAAAAAATTTTAAAAAATTTTAAAATACTCGTAAAACCATAAATATTTTGTTTTAAAAATACCTTTTAATTTTTTAAAAGGTTAAAGGTTCCAATTTTCAAAAGTTTTATTATTAAACTTTTTTAAAAATTTTACATATTTAAACATTTTTAAAAATTAAAAAATACATTTACAGGTAATACCATATATAAAAAAGAAGTATAAACCTTCAAAGATAAACAGTTTTCATCTATATATTGATCGCAAGAATATTGTTTAAAAATCATAAAACTTTTTATAGTACAAAGATATTTGAAAGGTATTAATGAAAATTTTAAAGTTTACGAGTATTTTTTAAAAATGGTACTATATATATATATATTTTTTTTTAAAATTTTCAAAGAGTTTTAAGGTAAAGTTTTTAGATATATTCTTAAATTCTTTCAATTAAAAAATTTAAAGGTAATTTTGAAACAAAGATATATAAAATTAATGATAAATGTATTTTTAATTTTTTTAAATTTAAATGCAAGAGTATTTTTTTAAGACAAAATATAAATTTGGAATATATATATATATATATATTTTTTTTGTTTTGTTAGTTTCCAGATATATTTTCGAAATTATATTTTTTTTTATTATAAACTATAAATGAAATAAATAAAAATATTTAAATATTTAGTAAATTATTAAAATTGTAAATGATTTAATGAAATTTGAAGACTGTATTTATCTAATTATTTATTTTCCATTGGCGGCGCTACAGTCTTCTCAAGGGGCAGAGCCTTCCTGGTACTCTGCCACCGGAAATAGTGCGGCTGCCTTTCCTGCAGGAGCTGTAAGTACTCTTTTTTGTTGCTTAATTCATTGATGAATTGCCCATTGTAAATCCATCCCTCCTTCCTTCTCTCTCTGTTAATTCAGTGATCTCACCCGCAATTATCTCAACGGCTCAATTCCTGAAGAATGGGGTTCCACCAATCTTCTCAAAATGTACTTTCTATCCCTCACTTTCTTTGTTGTTTTCAGAGTGTGGTTTATGTAAGCTAATGTTTATGGATCATTTTGCAGTTCCCTTCTTGGAAATCGATTGACGGGTTCAATCCCAGCAGCGATTGGAAACATCAGCACTCTTGTAGACTTGTAAGTTCTGTTTATGTCCATTTTGGGTTTTTAATTAGTAGGTAGAAGACTAATGTTACTAGTTTTTGCTCGCTTAGGGTCCTGGAAATGAATCATTTCTCTGGAAGTTTACCCCCAGAACTTGGAAATTTGCGTAGTTTATCAAGATTGTAAGACCCCTCATATTTGAGTTTTGTTATTGTCTTTCAATTCTCTTTACTTATAATGATTTAGACATTTAGGATAGCTTTCTGATGATCTATCTTTACTTTTGATTGTTGTGATATAGACTTCTTACCTCAAACAACTTTTCTGGGGAGCTCCCATCTTCACTGGCAAGGATAGCCTCATTGACGGACTTGTAAGCTTTTGAAATTTTCTTGAACCCTTCATTTCGTTTGTTTAATTTTGAGGAACCGAATGAATGAATGAATGAATAAAACAAATTTTCTTGTTGTTACGCTGCAGTCGTGTTAGTGATAATCACTTCACAGGGTCAATTCCTAATTTTATACAGAACTGGACGAATCTTACAAAAATGTGAGAGTTTTTCTCGACTCTAGCAACTCTCGGTTTTACTTGGTTGCTAATCTCTTAACTTACTCAACTAATTTACTTGTGACAGAGTAATTCAGGCAAGCGGGTTGAGTGGGCCAATTCCTTCTGAAATTGGACTTTTGACAAAATTAACTGATGTGTTAGTTTAATTCCTGTTCCTCGTGGTTTTATAAGTTATGAGTACTGCACGTTTCGATTTATTCATATTTGAGTTGCAAAATGCAGGAGAATCAGTGATTTGAATGGAGATTCATCACCCTTTCCACCCCTTAATACTTTGACAAAATTGACAAACCTGTAAGTTAATCCCTCTGTGAAAACCTGAAGACATCTGTGTACATAATCGCAGCTATTTATTTACATTATGGTTGTCTATAGGATATTGAGGAGTTGCAATATAACTGGGGTACTACCAAACAATCTTGATGTGTTGACAGCGTTGAAAACCTTGTAAGTACAATTTCACTCTCTACTCTGTCTAACTTTTTGCACGATGGAGACAAATGTCCACATCTGTCCTTTGTTTTCATCATAAAAGAAAACCAATAATATGCCTTAGTTTATGTTGAAATAGTAAAAGTAACTTCCTTGGATCAGTTGTTGAAATATTGAAAGTTTAATGTTTAGTTATTCTTCCCTGTTCTTTGACAATGCTAAATTTCTTCTGCAGAGACTTCAGCTTCAACAAAATTACTGGACCAATACCTGCCAGCTTTGAAGCTTTTAAAAAAGTGGATAGGATGTAAGTGACGTAATCAGTGTGATATCCCACATTGGTTGGGGAGGAGAACGAAACACCCTTTGGAAACCTTTTCCTAGCAGACGCGTTTTAAAGCCTTGAGGGGAAGCCCGAAAGGGAAAGCCCAAAGAGGACAATATCTGCTAGTGGTGGGCTTGGGCCGTTTACAAATGGTATCAGAGCCAGACATCGGGCAATGTGCCAGCGAGGAGGCTGTTCCTCGAAGGGGGGTAGACACCAGGCCAGGCGGTGTGCCAGTAAGGACGCTGAGCCACGAAGGGGGGTGGATTTGGTAGGGGTCCCACATCGTCCTCTTTGGGAGGTGGATTGTGGTGTCCCACATCGTCTGGGGAGGAGAATGAAACACTCTTTATAAGGGTGTGGAAACCTCTCCCTAGCAGACGCGTTTTAAAGCCTTGAGGGTAAGCCCGAAAGGGAAAGCCCAAAGAGGATAATATCTGCTAGCGGTGGGCTTCGGCCGTTACAATCAGAAACTTGAAATTCTATACCTTAACTGTAGACAGTTGCTTTACATAACTTGGGGGATAAGTCAAGCTTGATCAATGGCTGAAATGCATAACTTGGGGAATAAGACTGAGTATTTTCCGGTTATTGTAGGTCTTTTTGTTTATACTATAATCCCAATATGCATAGATTTTGATATTGAGTAAAATGTTTGAATTTGATCATAACTTGGATTGTCTGGTAGCATATTCATCACAACATCTTTATAATTTCGTTCGTTGGTAAAAAAAAAACATACAATGTCCTCATTCCTATTGTCAAAAGCTTATTAGTTGCACTGATAATCTATAATATTTTATTGTTTAGATATTTAACTGGAAACTTGCTAAATGGACCAGTGCCCACATGGATGCTACAGGAAGGGGAAAGCATGTAAGTTTCTTTTCCAATTGCTATGTTCTGGTTACATTACTTGTATTGTGGTACCAAAATTGAAAGTAGATGACCTGAGATTTCAAAATAAACGAACAATTTCAGAGAGTGAGAGAGAACAAATAATATCTCATTGCATCAATCCTCGAAAAGGAAAAAGCATCTTGCTTGTTTTACACAATCATTTCTTTTTCCAGTGATATAAAAATGAAAGTTCGTTTGTACACACTTAATGTTTTTAGTTTATTTTTTTAAAAGTTGACAGTTTAAGAGTTTAAATATTGTTTATAGCTCTAATCAACATTCTTATGGTTGTTTTTGTTTTTTCTTAGGATGTAAGGGAAGGGCAAGTTTATGTTCTTGCTATCTGGAAGATAATAAATCTGATTGTTGTTCTTTTTCACAGTGATCTCTCTTATAACAAATTTACTCTGAGCAATAGTGAGAACACTGGCTGTCAATCACGAAATTTGTAAGTATGCTTCTATTCTTATACAACTTTTTTTATAACTAATGAGAAATACCTATCCGATCTCCTTCGTTCCGTGCAGAAACCTGTTTGCAAGCTCTTCCCAGGACAACAGTTCGTGAGTTCTTGATCTTCTTTGAGTTGACTTGTTGCTTGAATTGTCTAATATTCTAATACCCATTAAGCTTCTTTTTGTTTTAGCGGTGGAACAGTTTCATGTCTACCCAGCACTTGTAGAAGTGAGTTGAAATCTTGTTTTCCTAGCATTGTTTTTATTGTTGGAGGGATAGGGAAAATGGTAAATTCTAGAAATCATATTTGATGGTTTTTCGTTGCTGTACATAATGAGTAAATGCTAAAGCGTAAAGAGTTCATTCAAGATCTGTTGGTGGACTTCCAAACCTTGAAAAATAGATGATGTTGCTATTTAGAAGCGGCATTGATATGTTTAATAATATTTCTGCAAAAATACATTAATCAGCTCTGTTTATATGATTCATCTTTCAATACCAATATGGTCTTGTTCTTGCAGCTTCGTACTCTCTCCATATCAACTGTGGTGGGAAGGAATTAATTAACGGAACAACCACATTTGTTGCAGACGCAGACACTGGCAAATCATCATTGTTTTTCCAACGTGTAGAAAATTGGGGATTTAGTAGCACTGGTAATTTTATGGACGACGCTCGCTCAACAGACGACTTTATTGCATTAAATATATCCGCTCTCTCGATGCCAAATCCTGAATTGTACGTGACGGCACGTATTTCACCGATTTCTCTTACTTACTATGCATATTGCATGGGTAGTGGAAACTACACAGTAGGCCTCCATTTCGCTGAGATAGCGTTTACTAATGACACATCTTATAGAAGCCTTGGCAGACGCTTATTTGATGTCTATGTTCAGGTAAATAGATACTGTGGCTCAGCTCATGCAGAAATTATCTGATATTTAGCCCCTTTTAGTATATCTTTGTATAATATTTTTCTGTATGGTTAGCTTCTTCTGGTACCGAATTTACTGATTACTTCGTTAGCTTGAATTTTTATTTATTTATCTCCAATGTTGCAGGGAAAGCTGAAGTTGAAGGATTTTAATATTGCAGATGCTGCAGGTGGTATTGGCAAACCTATTGTAAAGAACTTCACCGTTCCTGTGACTAATGGTACTATAGAGATTCGCCTATTTTGGGCCGGGAAGGGGACAACTGCAATCCCTGTGAGAGTGGTTTATGGTCCTTTGATTTCTGCCATTTCGGTTGATCCTGGTTGGTAGACCCATTTTTCGGCCTACCCTTTATTTGATGACAAGTTTTTGTTACTTATATAAGTCTGTAACCTTATTAAACTATAGTAGGTTTAATATAATTATTGTTTCCTTCTCTCCAAACAGACTTTGAGCCACCATCAGAAGGTGGGAAGGACATATCTGCCGGTGCTGTGGTTGGAATTGTGGCTGGAATTGTGGCTGCTGTGATCTTTGTTATCATCTTTGTTCTTGGAGTCTTGTGGTGTGGAGGCTGCCTACAAAAGAAAAGCACACTTGAACAAGGTAATTTTAAAGCATATATCAGATTCTTACTGTTATTAATTGAACATAGCTTTGCCATTCTCTCAGACTTCTTCAACTCGTCTTTGAGTTCTAACGCAAGCTACATTGCAAAGTTTTGGATGTCAATGACATCACATGTATTGTTCTGATGTTGAAAACGTCTACATTTTTATGCTGATAGAAAAATCAGTTTAACATGTGTTGAACGAGACAAAGTTGACCATTAAAACGACTGTATCTTTATGGAGAACTAATTCATTTTGACTTAACTATGCTTATTTTCCAGAGTTGAAGGGTCTAGATCTAGGAACAAGTTCATTTTCATTAAGACAAATCAGAGCTGCCACTAACAATTTTGATGCTGCCAATAAGATTGGAGAAGGTGGTTTTGGTCCTGTCTACAAGGTGTTACTGTTGTTTGGATATCATTATTTCATCATTTCTTCCATAGATTTTATATTTTTGGTGTTAAGTTCTGTGTTTGGAATTGCAGGGTGTTCTTCAAGATGGCACTGTAATCGCAGTGAAGCAACTTTCTTCCAAGTCGAAGCAAGGAAATCGCGAATTTGTGAACGAAATAGGCATGATATCTGCATTGCAACACCCGCATCTAGTGAAGCTTTACGGATGTTGTGTCGAAGGAAATCAACTTTTGCTAATATACGAATATCTCGAAAATAATAGCCTTGCTCGTGCCTTATTCGGTGACGAGATTTCCAACCATTTTTTACTGCTACCAATCTTCATATTTTTTTTTTGAATATCGGTGATGATAATATTGAATGAAATTAAGCATCTCCGGAAATTTGGTGTATTGTAGGACCTGAAGAATTTCAACTGAAACTGGATTGGCCAACCAGGCACAAAATTTGTGTTGGTATAGCTAGAGGTTTAGCATATCTTCATGAGGAGTCAAGACTAAAGATTGTTCACCGAGACATCAAAGCTACCAATGTTCTGCTTGATAAAAATCTCAACCCCAAGATTTCGGACTTCGGTTTGGCCAAGCTGGACGAAGAAGAAAATACGCACATTAGCACCCGGATTGCGGGTACCTTGTGAGTTACCATGGGGAAATTTTCCTCCATTTTCTTCCCATACTTTAACAATATAGAGAAATAATGAGAGAAAAGGTTTCTAGTTGTTATCAAAATGATGTATTTTCTTATAACTTAACGTGCGATCCAGATATTCACATCGTCACAACGTTATTTTGCAGTGGATATATGGCACCGGAATATGCCATGCGAGGCTACTTAACTGACAAGGCAGATGTTTACAGCTTTGGCATCGTAGCCTTGGAGATACTGAGCGGTCGAAGTAACACAATTTTCCGAACCAAGGATGATTGCTTTTACCTTCTTGATCATGTGAGTTAACTCCATCTTTTAGTCCTTGTGCTTATCTTTTGTGTTCTATAATGTTTTTCTACACCAGAAGTTTCTAGGAAAGAGTATGATCCAATTTTCAGTTTGTTCTAGGCTGCTCTGTTACATTCTCTGTTCCAAATGGGTCTTGAATTTGCTAATTTTGACTCATGAAAACCAAACTTGTTCATGTCGTATACGAAGTTTAGATTGTGCTGATTGCTTCCAAAACATTTTGTTGTATCCTTCATTGTCAGGCTAATACTTTAAAAGAGGGAGACCGTTTGTTAGAGCTTGTCGATCCACGGTTAGGTTCGGAATACAACCAGAGAGAGGCAATGACGATCATCGATATTGCTTTCCGATGTACGAACAACACTGCTGCAGTTAGACCTACCATGTCATCAGTGGTGAGCATGCTGGAAGGGAAGGTTGCTGTGAAGGAGGTGGTTTCAGATCCTAGTGTCTCGAAACAAGAAGTGAATACGACGTGCGTTTATTACCAGAAAGGGCAAACTACAGACGAGAGTCGGATACAAAATATGTCGATAGATGGACCGTGGACTGGTTCGTCAACTACTGGCAGTGATCTCTATCCCATGCTCCTGGATTCTATATACTTGGAGGATAGGAACTAGAGTTGATCTTTGTCCTCTATGGATTTGCTTACATGCAACTGTGTTAAGAGTTCAAATGCTGTGATGCATGCTTATCTGCAGTACGGAACCAAACAAACGACCCATTAATAGTTCGAGGCTATCGCTAATAGATATTGTCCGCTATAACTCATTATGTATTGTCGTCAGCCTTACGATTTTAAAATGCGTCTATTAGAGAGATTTCTACACCCTTGTAAGGGATGTGGAAAGATGTGAAAACCTCTTCCTAGTAGACACGTTTTAAAACCGTGAGGTTGACGGCGATATGTAACGGGTCCTGCTAGCAGTGGGCAATATACTAGTTTCAAAATTCTATTGTGTGAATGTTAAACTAATTTTTATGAACGTTGGTAAAGTTTTCATATTTATGAAACAGTGTAGGTACCTGTTGTCTTCAAATAAGGAAAAATTTATGAAATTAGAAAGAGAGCGTTGAATATTATATCAACATTATAAGGTATTGAACATAGCGTCATGATGCTAATGCTTGTGAACAAGACAATTTTCTTCGATCTATAGCGTTTTGATGCTATTCTTTCTGGGTTTTTGGCATTGGTTCCTTTACCATCCCAATTCTTTTAGAAGGTCTGATTTGTTTCAAATGCTCGATTTCTATCAAATAAACAAAAATGAACATGGATGGTACATTTTGTATGCTATCGAGTCCGGTTGCTGACGACTCTCCTATCTACCATCGGTCTTCGTTTTATTTTTCCAATAATTTAAATTTTAGTGTTTCATCTTATTCTTTGTAGCTTTTGTATAAGATAAAGTATCATCCTAAATTAAGATTCAAATTTACGAAATAGTCAAAAAGAAAATTACCAAGAACATTAACACAACAAGTTAACCTATATTACCAACCACCCGTTGACTTTAGCATTTTATAATAATTCTTACTTAGTCAACTAAAATTATTTTTAACTATAAAAATAATTTTATAACTATTTATTTTTAAAAAAATTGTGCTGAGTTTTCAACAATTTATCTACGATAGTATCATTAAAAAATATATATTTTTAAAATATTTATAAATTTAATTAAAAAACAAATTATTATCAAATGGTATTAAACACCTAACCTGGTTATTACCTTCACTTTTAATTAATATTAAATTTTTATAATATGGAATAAACAAGCCATAGCCATACAAATTCTCACCTAATGAATCAACTTGAGTTTATAAAATTTCTTCTTTTTTTTTTTAAAAAAATTAATATAAGTCTAAAGTTCGCAACTTTATCTCTACCGACCCATATATATATATATTTTATAAAGAAAGAAAGTGTATTTGTCGGACCTATAAACTCTTACTCAAAGGTATACACTTTTACGTGAGTTGAAATGCTCATTGTGGATTGTGATAGAAACAACGAACCTCCACAATGATACGATGGCATTTCCTTTAATTAGTCCATTTGAAACTCTTACAATTCTCTAACAAAGTACACCATTGAGAGTCCCCGATGACTTTGACACTTGAGGATTCTATTGACATGACTAAGTTAAGATAAAGACATAACTTTGATATCACTGATAGAGACAAGAGACCTCTGCAATGGTATGAAATTGTTCACTTTGAGTATAAGCACTCACATGTTTTTTTTTCTTTTGGTTTTCCCAGAAGGCGTAAGATCAGTGGAGATAGTGTTTTCTTACTTCTTCTTAATTAGGTAGCGTGAAATTCCAACCATCTTCAAAACATAGTACAAAACATCCTTAAATGTTTGACTTTTGTAATGTTTTTTTTTTAATATTTGAAGAAACCAAAGTGTTGTGTGTAAATACAAATTTGCATTGCTTATATTAATCCATAATGAGATCATGACATGTGGGTTTACTAAGTAATGGGTCAAAACGTTACCAAAATTTTTCTTTAGTTTTTTTAATCCAAGTTGATTTTCCATTTGTCATTAATAACAATTCAACTGATAAAATGAGTATCTTTCATAAACTTATTATATATGTACTTCATTTGATAGTGTTGTTGTTTTGTTGTGTTATTAACTGAAACACAAATATTTAGGACAGCTGAAGACTGAATATGTTCATGTCTAGAACACTCTTGTTCTTCTTGTTCTTGTTCTTCATTGCTGGGATCCAATCCCAGTCCACCAGATTGCCTGCTGATGAAGGTACTCACACTTTCTTCTTCTTTTAGATTGGCAACGCAACGTAATATCAGAGTTCGAACCTTTCGACTTTAACTAAATGTGAATCTTAGATGGAGTATACCCCCTTCGGAGTCCAACGTCTTCGCTGACACTCGTTTCCTTCTCCAATCGATGTGGGACCTCCCAATCCGCTCCCCTTCGAGACCTAACAATCCACTTCCCTTCGAGTCTCAGTGTCTTCATTGACACTCTTTCCCTTCTCCAATCGATGTAAGACCCCTCAATCCACTCCCTTTCGAGGCTCAGCGTTCTTGTTGGCACACCGTCTCGTGTCCACCCCCTTCGAGGCTTAGCCTCCTTGCTGGCACATCGCCCGGTGTCTAGAGTTGATACCATTTGTAATGGTTAAAGTCTATCGCTAGTCGATATTGTCATTTTTAGACTCTTTCACTTTTGAGCTTTCCCTCAAGGTTTTTAAACACGTCGGCTAGGGCTAGGGAGAGTTTTCCACACCCTTGTAAAGAATGTTTCGTTCTCATCTCTAACTGACGTGAGATCTCACAATTCAAATATTTCTCATGTGAATTCAAATATTGATATTTGCACTCGAGCTAGCATGTATGATCCGAAGTTAAAACAATTCTTAAAGCTAAAAATAAAAAATGTTGAAGTGCATGAGAATTTCTAAAGGTTGAAAGGAAGAGATTCTTGAAGATCGCTACAACTTCACTTCGTTTGTTCTTCTGGTCTGGGTATAATTTGGTCCATGAAAGCAGTAATCATTTGGTTTGAGCTGAAATCATATAATGAAATGAACGTTGAATTGCATGCATATATGTTTCAGTGGAGGGTTTAAAGGAAATAGGAAAGATTCTGGGAAAAAGAGACTGGAATTTCAGTGCAGATCCTTGCAATGGCGACCATGGATGGATTTCTCAGCCCAACCAAATCCCCAAGAACGTTTCTGATTTTCAAAACAATCTTACCTGTGATTGCGCCTTTCTCAATGCCACGATCTGCCATGTCATCAGCATGTAACGTTTCTCTCTCCTCTTCCACCTATAAAACTGTTGTTACCGATCGAAATCCAAATTTTGTGAAATCTATTATTTGAGATGCAGAGCTCTCAAATCGCAGAGCCTTCAAGGCACTCTCCCGCCCGATCTTGTTCGCTTGCCCTTTCTGCAGCAAATGTAAGTTGTTAATACCTCAAATACTCAAAAACAGATATCCATTTGCTCGATTAACTAATAATATCAGCTTCTTTTCCGATCATTTTTTCGTTTAGTGATCTCAGTCGGAACTATCTCAGCGGTCAAATTCCATCGGAATGGGGCTCTACGAATCTCGTCAATATGTAATTTCTCCGCCCCTTTCTCGATTTGAGGAAATCTAGGGTTCATTTTGGTTGTTGTTGATTCTGCAGTTCCCTGCTTGGAAATCGGCTGACGGGTTTGATTCCAGAGGAGATTGGAAACATCACTACTCTAGAAAATTTGTGAGTTCTGATTATCCATTTTAGTTTTTGGATGACATTGCCAAGAACAAATGATTGGTTTGTGTAGGGTCCTGGAAATCAATCAGCTGTCAGGAAGCATTCCTCAAGCGCTTGGAAACTTGCCCCAGTTACAGAGATTGTAAGAACGTTTTTTTCTTCTTTGAATACAGATTTGGTCGATGAATTTTGATAGTTGTGTTTGTGTAAATCTCTAAACTGAGTATCACTTACATCAGCTTTGAATATGATTCTATGTAACTGTGAGATCCCACGTCCGTTGGAGAGGAGAATGAAGCATTTTTTATAAGGGGGTGGAATTCACTAGCCAATACGTTTTAAAAACCTTGAGAGGAAGTCCGAAAGGGAAAGCCTAAAGAGGACAATATTTGTTAGCGGTGGACTTGGACTGTTACAAATGGTATCAGAGCTAGATATTGAGCTATGTACCAACGAGGATGTTGAGTCCTGAAGAGGGGTGGACACGAGGTGGTGTGCTAGCAAGGACACTGGCCCCGAAGGGGGTGGGGATTGGGGGAGTCTCACATCGATTGAAGAAGGGAACGAGTGCCAACGAGGATGCTAGGCCTTGAAGGGAGTGGATTGTGAGATCCCACATCGGTTGGAGAGGAGAATGAAACACTCTTTATAAGGGTGTGGAAAACCTTGAGGGGAAGCTCGAAAGGGAAAGCCCAAAGAAGACAATATCTGTTAGCTGTGGGCTTGGGCGGTTAGATTCCGTTAGTATTAACTAAACAATGGCATGACATGTTAGTATGATTGTAATAGAAAAAAAGTAGGAGAGAGGGACACTACTTATAAAAGTGAGTTGATACATTGGTTTAAAAGGTGAATATGTTGTATGTTCTATCTAATTTATAAATCAACCAATGTTTGTCGAATAGGCACGACATGTCGAATAGTCATCATCAAGATCTAAATAAAGATTTAGCATTTTCATTTTCATTTTTTTTTTGTTTTTTTGTTTTTTTCCTTGTCTCGTTGTTATGGAGAGAGCCAATTATCAGTCATGATCTTTAGACTGGCTACTTGATTAGATTATGTGCATTTATATCATAACCTTGTTGCCCTGTAGACATCTTACCTCGAACAACTTCTCTGGGAAGTTGCCGATGTCACTGGGAAAGCTGACCACATTGAAGGAATTGTAAGTCTTATAATTTCTTCCTAACTGGTAACTCCTCCATGTGTTTCCTAAGCTGCTTTCTTTTTCAAATGATAAATGAACACTTGAGCCTTTTCCTTTGTCAATGCAGTCGAATCGGTGACAATAACTTCTCGGGTCCAATACCGAACTTCATACGTAATTGGACAAATCTTACTGAACTGTGAGATATCAGTTTACTTTTCGAACTCTCTATTCATTAAGGAATTATCTCTCAAAAACATAGTTTTTCTGTGACAGATCCATTCAGGCAAGTGGATTAAGTGGGCCAATTCCTTCAGACATTGGACTATTGACAAAATTATCTGACTTGTTAGTGTTCCTTTTTGAGTTCTTAGCTACTTTATTTTTCCCTCATGAACGACGTGTCTTATATCGTTCGAGTTTAAATTTCTAAATGCAGGAGAATCAGTGACTTGAGTGGAGCTCCATCACCCTTTCCACGTCTTCGTAATTTGGAAGACATCACAATTCTGTAAGTTACTTCAAAACATGGGGGATGGCCAAGCTCTTTCCCCACCCAATTAATTTTCTTTTTGGTTATCTACAGGATATTGAGAAGTTGCAATATCACTGGAAGGCTGCCCAATTTTCTGGATAGGATGCCATCCTTAAGAATCTTGTATGTAATCAGTATACATTTGCCTCCATGCTAACAAGAATAGTTGCAGCCTTAAGTACTTTGGAATCTTTACCAAAGCTTTGTACACTATCAAGATTCCTTAATCTTAATTAAGGGAAATTCAGGTCTTAATTTCTTGTAAGTATTCGTATAACCGCTATATTGTTCTTATTCTTTTGTGTTTAATTCTTCACACAGAGACCTCAGCTTCAACAAACTAAGTGGGCAAATTCCGACCAGATTTAATGCTCTTAAAGGGTTGGATAACATGTAAGAACTTTTGTCCAGAATTGAAAGTTTTATATATTGAGACTGCTCATGGATTAAGGAAACTAAACCATCTTACAATGGCCGACATGCATCAGCAACTATACTTCATTTTATATATTTTTTTTAGGAAGATACCTATCTGCAACTATACTTTATATTTGTAATTACGTTTTCATGTTCACTATTTAGATTTTTAACTGGAAATATGCTGAATGGATCAGTGCCTGATTGGATGTTGAAAGGAAACGGCATGTAAGTATCTTTTCCAATATCTAGTAAATTATTGGCTGCTTGTTGTTTAATGGATGAGACACTTATATCTTCTTTCCATTCTTTCACTGGGTCCTTTGAAAGTTCATTGCCCATCTATTTGTAACTTTCTTGTTGCTGGTAGTTTTTATCTTCTTGACTACCATTTCCCCATTTTTAAGCATTAAAGTGAGAAAATTAATATGAAGTATTTTTGTAACCACTCAAGTCAATCGCTAGCAGATATTGTCCACTTTGGGCTTTCCCTTTCGGGCTTCTCCTTAAGGTTTTTAAAACGTTCCTAGGTTTCCACATCCTTATAAAGAATGTTTCGTTCCCTTCTCCAACCGATGTGGGATCTCACAATCTAGGTCTCATTGGCACTTGTTCCTCTCTCCAGTCGATATGAGATCTCACAATCCACCCCCTTTCGGGACCCAGCGTCCTCGCTGTCCACCTCCCTTCATGGCTCACTGTTCTCGTTGGCACATCACCAGGTGTCTAGCTCTGATATCATTTGTAACAACCCAAGCCCATTGCTAACAGATATTGTTCTCTTTAGGCTTCCCCTCAAGGTTTTTAAAACGCGTCTGCTAAGGAGAGGTTTCCATACCCTTATAAAGAATGTTTTGTTCCCTCTCCAACCAATGTTGGATCTCACAATTCTGTAGGTTGTATCAATAGTCAACCGAAACAAACATGATACTCTTTGTAATAACCATCTGCTCTAGGGAGTATCTGTGGCTTAATCAAGTTATACTTGCCTTAGTCAATACTTTGAACCGTGATAGAAACTGGTTTCTTGGTTGTAAACTCTGTTTGTTTGAGTGTGTTCTATAGAAATTGTTTCCAGAAACCAATTCAAAATTGTTCTTCATTATTTTTTCCTTTAAGGTGTCACATCTTTTTCTTTCTTTACAGCGATCTTTCCTATAATAATTTTACAGTCGAGGTGGCTGGGGAAAGCTGTCGGTCTCAAAAAGTGTAAGACTTTTCCTACCCTACGAATATCTTCTTTTGAAGAACACTATCTAATCTAATCTCTCGCTCCACCACCTCTCCCCTGCAGGAACCTCTTTGCCAGCTCTTCACAAGACAGTGATTAGTAAGTTTTAACCATTTGGTGTGTGCATTGAATTGGTTTATACTTGCCTGTGCTAATCAGATTATCTCAAAACATGATGCTAACTAGTGAGCTTTCTGTTGCTTTATCAGTGGAATTCTTTCATGTTTAGCAGGCTCGTCCTGTTCAAAAAGTGAGTTGAACCTTTAAATGGAGACAGGCTTAAATTCACACTCTTGCTGTACCATTTGTAGTAAGTAACATTTTTCTATTCTCACAGCTTGGTACTCTCTTCATATAAACTGTGGTGGGAAGGAACAAACCATAAATGGTACAGTTTTTAAAGGAGACCGAAATACAGGCAGCTCTATGTTCTTTGTAACTGGAACAAATTGGGCAATCAGCAACACTGGCAGTTTTTTGGATGATGGTGAAACTCGAGATGAATACAGTGCAACTAATTCTTCTACTCTTTCTATGACAAATCCTGAACTGTACATGACTGCACGCATTTCTCCATTATCTGTTACTTACTATGGGTTTTGTATGGGAAATGGAAACTACACAGTAAGCCTCCATTTTGCAGAGATAATGTTTACTGATGACAAGACGTTCAGTAGTCTCGGCAGACGCTTATTCAACGTTTATATTCAGGTACGAAGAAGAACTCCAAGGTTTCACTCATCAAAAAAGTTTCTGATTGTTGTAAAATCAGTATTTTGATCATGAAAGCTCCACTTCTGAAGATTGTCTCAGGTTTGCCAACAGTTTTTCATGAGTACTAGCATGACAACTTAATAAACTTCTGAACTGCAGAAAGAACTTGTCCTAGAGGATTTCAATATAGTGGATGCAGCAGGTGGTGTTGGTAAAGCAGTCATAAGAAAAATCCCAGTTACCGTGACAAATGGTACGCTGGAGATCCGCTTCTATTGGGCCGGGAAGGGGACAAATGCTATTCCTGTGAGGGGAGTTTATGGCCCTCTTATATCAGCTATATCAGTAGATCCTGGTGGGTTGATCTTCAAGTCCATTTTTTCCTTTTTACTTGTGCTTATTTAACTGAGTGCTCTCCTATGTTGTCTATCATCCCCTATTCATGTAGACTTCGAGGCTCCATCCGAAGGTGGAGAAACTGGAAAATCTGGCATATCTGTAGGTGCAGTGGTAGGAATTGCAGCTGCTTCAGTGTTTGTTATATTATTGGTTCTCGGAATCCTGTGGTGGCGTGTATGTCTACAACGGGAAAAGACACTCGAACAAGGTAATCCTAAGATAAATATATCTTCTTATATTTGCTATGTATCTTGTCCTTCAACACTTGGCAACATTTGCAAGCTTTTGAATGTTAATCATATCAAAATCATTGTTTAGACCTTAAGAAACCTCGGTAACTTGAATGTACGGTGCAAGCAAGGACCGGTTATTATAGTGTAGGCTGTAGAGGGAGTTTGTGATGAATGATGCCATTTAGCAGTGGTGGAGGGACTAAGATAGAATGTTTAGAAGTTTAACCATTAAAATGGAATAAACATTAAAGTTCATGGTTTAACCTATGAATTAAACACGTTTACCAAATGTCTTGGCTTCCTCCTCAGCTCGCGCTTGTTTTTTGCAGAGTTACGAGGTTTGGATTTGCAAACTTGTTCTTTTACATTAAGGCAAATAAAAGCCGCCACAAACAATTTTGATGCTGCCAATAAGCTTGGAGAAGGTGGTTTCGGTTCTGTCTATAAGGTAGATACCATATGAATTGGTAACTTCAGCTTCTTCTTTGTAAATATAGTAGGTATGGTATGTGATTCTTCAATTGGAAATGCAGGGTGTTCTTACGGATGGTACGGCAATTGCAGTAAAACAACTGTCTTCAAAATCAAAGCAAGGAAATCGCGAGTTCGTGAATGAGATCGGCATGATATCTGCTTTGCAACACCCACATCTAGTCAAGCTTTATGGATGTTGTATTGAAGGAAATCAGCTCTTGTTAGTATATGAATACATGGAAAACAATAGCCTTGCCCATGCCTTGTTTGGTAAGTATTTGTGCCATATGATTAACTATTGCCTATTTTTATTGAATTTCCCAATCTGGTTAGGTTATAGAGAGTTGATTAATGGGAAATATTTGAAGGTCAAGAAGGAAGTGAACTAGAATTGGATTGGCCAACAAGGCACAAGATCTGTGTTGGTATAGCAAGAGGTTTGGCTTATCTTCATGAAGAGTCCAGACTAAAGATTGTCCACAGAGATATCAAAGCTACTAATGTTCTGTTAGACAAAGAGCTAACCCCCAAGATATCAGACTTCGGCTTGGCCAAGCTCGATGAAGAAGAGAAGTCCCATATAAGTACTCGAATCGCTGGAACTTTGTGAGTACTTGTGATTAAGTTATTCGTTTTAGTTTTCCATTCTTCTTTTCGTTTATATTTGTGTCTAGGGACGGGCAAGCATGAAGGTAGAATCGAGTCAAATTCTTGAGAAAATTTGAAATGAAGAATATTTACTCATAATGAGGTGATTTTGTAGTGGATACATGGCACCGGAATATGCAATGCGAGGGCACTTGACTGATAAAGCAGATGTTTATAGCTTTGGTGTTGTGGCTTTAGAAATAGTTAGCGGAAGGAGCAACACGACTTTGTGGGCAAATAGCGACGGCTCTTATCTTCTAGATTCGGTAATCTAATTTCTCGACAGTTTATGATGTTCGGTTTCTTTTTGTCGTGTTAGTTAGGAAGAATAGGTAGGATGAACCCCCATTTCTAGAACGGTCTTACCCAATGTAGAAGGCAACACCTTGGTTTCCAAGGGGATTTAACTCACCTCTCATTTGATCCTCGTTTATTCATTTAATTTTAGATGCGTAAATCTTACATCTGTTCTTGTAACAACCCACCACTAGCAAATATTGTCCTCTTTGGGGTTTCCCTTTTGGGTTTCCTTTTCGGGCTTCCCTTCAAGGTTTTTAAAACGTGTCTGCTAGGGAGAGGTTTCTACACCCTTATAAAGAATGTTTCATTTTCCTCCTCAACCAATGTGCGATCTTACAATGGTGTGCTAGCAAGGATGCTGGCCCCGAATAGGAGTGGATTGGGGGGACTCACATCGATTGGAAAAGGGGATGAATGTCAGCGAGGACGTTGGGCTCCAAAGGGGGGTGGATTGTGAGATCACACATTGGTTGGGGAGGAGAACGAAACATTTTTTACAAGGGTGTAGAAACCTCTTACTAACATACGCATTTTAAAAACTTTGAGGGCAAGCCCAAAGAAGACTATCTCCGAGCGGTGGACTTGGGCTATTAGAGTTCTACTTCCGGAACCTTTCGTCTTGTTTTCATAATTAGAACTCATTATATCATATGTTACAATCCCAGAATTGTGTCCAAACCATACAACTTAGCTGTCTTTCATCTACTATTTCCTAGGCACTGAAGTTGAAAGAGAAAAACAGTTTAATGGAGCTAGTTGATCCAAGGTTAGGCCCCAACTTCAACAAGGGAGAGGCATTGAGAATGATAAAAATTGCTCTCCATTGCACTAATATCTCTCCTGCAGCAAGACCTAACATGTCATCAGTAGTGAGCATGCTGGAAGGCAAGCAGGATATTGAGGGCATAGTGTTGGATTCTAGTGTCACTAAAGGATCAATAAACACAGCATGGACTCGTTTATTGGAGGACGCTGAGCAATCGAAGTACGGTTTGTTTGGCGATGTCTCGGCAACAGGTTCTTCTACATCTGCAGTCGATCTCTATCCGATTAACGTATCTCAGTACTTGAATATTAGAGAAACTAGACCATGAATTGCATGATTTCTCTTGATTGCTTTTGTATACGTCCAGCCTTTGTAATTGCAATGCGTGTCAATTGCCCAGAAAAGTGCAGCTTTTCATCTCTACCAAATGGCAACTGACTTCTTTGTATATTATCATAGAATAGAACAGGAAAGCAATGGCTTATTTGACCGCTTGTTCTGTAGCAATAGTTTTTAATACTTTCTTTGAAGTAAAATCCTACCTCGATTGGAGAGGAGAACACAGCATTCATAAGGGTGTGAGAACCTCTCTCTAATGGACGTGTTTTGAAATTTTGAGAGAAAATCCAGAACTCTCTGGATAGAGAAATCAATCAATCAAAATCATCATAATCACAACCTTCAACGAGACGAGATTTAAAGATTTCCACTTTGTGAATAAATAATTTTCAAATGCCACTCAGGCCAAGCATCATGTTACCCGAGAGAAGACTAGAACTTGGAATGAAATTACAACTCAAATACTAACATCAGACTGGGCTGAAGCATGAAAACTCTAACTCAGAGTCTATGAACATTGGAATCCTAGAGCAAGAAAGCTTTGTTTCTTTGTAGTTCATACTATCTTTCCTTGTTTATCCTTTTGTCCCTAATTGGCAGATCAACTGGCTTTTGTGCCTCATGTGGATGGTCTGGTCCTTTGTAAACCTTCAAGTGGTTAAAAAGTGCTCTTCCAAGCTGCAAATAATTGCCATGGTTTGAAACAGCCAATAAAATCTCAGGAACGTCAATGGAGGCAGGAAACGGGGGAAACTCATAAACACCACAATAAGATGTAGTCTACAGGAAACTGCTGGTTTGTCTCCAACGAATTTTTCAAAGGATGAAGCGGGACTGTTAAATATCTTTTATAAAAGACATTCAAAAGGAAAACATGTGCAGATGCTACCCAGATGTGCGGAACTAACCAGTAGTCTACAGCAACCAAACCAACAAAAGCTATCTTAACCAACCTACTAAAGCCACACCAAGATTGATCTAGAAAATATACTTTGTGCATAATCTTCTGACACGATTTTCCTACATGAAGTGTGGCTCGAGCAATCACTCTACACCAACAAATACAGTGTAACAACCCAAGCCCACCGTTAGCAGATATTGTTCTCTTTGGGTTTTCCCTTTCAGGCTTCCCCTCAAGGTTTTTAAACGCATCTACTATGGAAAATGTATAGTCTTACTCCAACCAATGCCTCGTACCGTCGTGACGGGCTTTGATACCATTTGTAACAGCTCAAGCCCACTGCTAGCAGATATTGTCCTCTTTAGACTAAAATGTGTCTGCTAGGGAGAGGTTTCCACACCCTTATAAAGAATGTTTCGTTCCTCTCTCCAACCAATGTGGGATCTCACATACAGTTTGCTGAATAGTCGGCGTATACATAATACATATAGCACTTGAGTAGTAGGAATCACTTACCCTCCCCTTCGGAAGCATACCGCGAACAGCATGCTCAATAATTCTTTCAGGAATTCTCTGCTGTAGCTGGTCAAAAGTTTCTACTGTCATGCCACCCGGTCGCCCCGAATGCCTCCTGTACAGTTTTTGTGTCCTCTTTCTACCAGACACGGCAACTTTTTCTGCATTTACCTAGGTAGGATCAAGAGAATAGATACGAATTCAAGCAACCATTTGAAAACAAATAGCAAGAAAGTTCAAGGTGAGTAGACAAAAGCATATGCATAGCTCACAATCAATGTTGTAGAAATTGCAGCCACAATAGAACATTAGGTACAAGTACAACCACATACCACAATCACAAAAGCCCCCATATCCACACTAGGAGTGTAGGTTGGCAAATCCTTCCCTCGGATATGATTGGCAATGGTTGAAGCTAATCTTCCCAAAATCTTATCAGTGGCATCAACCACATACCAAGGTTTTTCAGTGTTCACATGATCAGCAGCCTTCGGGTACCATGTTTTATTCCAAATGTCCTGCACGGAAAAGAATAACGACTGCTAAATATCCAATTTGAAAAGGGAAAATGAACAAACAGCGGACAAAATCAGGAAATAGTTCTTCAAAATTCAGAGAACGGACATCAAATTGCCCTAACAAGCAAAAAAAAAAAAAAAAGGTTCGTATGAATAACTTCAGTACATCAATGGAAGGCTACATTGCAATGCAGAGATGCCAAAAGTTAGATCTAATTGAATGAAGTAGCCAAAGCCGCCATCCTCCGAAATAAACAACAAGAACAAAAAACCAACAAAAAGAACACGTTCAATTAGTCTCAAATCCATAAGATCATTTCCAAGCAAACAAACGAACATATCGAGAGAATTACAGACGTACAGGGCCGTCAATCTCGTCGCCCTCGAACATCCACCGCTGCTCCAAAGGGACGCGATCCAGCTCCTGAGCTCGCACTTGAAAGACAGAACTCTTCGGCTTGGAGGTTAGAGTAATCGTAGTCTGAGTTTGAAGAAAAGAAGATTTTGATTGAGGGAGAGGAAATCCAGCAACGAGTGACATTCTAGGAATGGCTCTGTTACTTGCGTTCGCATTGTTAAGAGTGGAATGTAAAGAAAAAGTGGCGGTAGAGGAGGAAGCACAGAGCATCGCCATTGTAGCTCTGGCGCTCTTTCAGTTGGGGAATTTCCGCTGTTGAGTGTGGATAAGACTCTGCCTTTTGTGAATGCAAGTGGCGCTTTACTTTGGTTTCGGTCGGAAGCCATTCAAACGAGTGTTCTAACTGTGAACAAGGTAATTCGAATCTTACTTAAATATATTTAGATTTAAAGGTCTTGTTCTTCAATAAAGTTGTTAGATCAAATTTTTAAAAGTGGCAATAATTTACCTATCCCGCGTGTTTACGAGTTCTTAGATTCAACTGGCTAAGGTTACCATATTATCTTCTTTTGAACCATTTGCTTATGGATGCATATTCCAAATGTAAATTTTTCTCCGAAGAATGTGACAACTGTATCTACCATTCTCAAAGTTCATCATATTTGTTCGGAATCTATTTAGTTATTGGTAGTCGTAGATGTTCTCATCTACTCGTAGTCGTAGTCGTAGTCAGGTTGGGTTAAGATTTAGGGCATTCCCAAATGGAGGTGGATGGAACTTGGAAGCAAGAAAAAGCCATTTCAGGGTCAATTCAGCGTTTCAAACCCGAACAGCACAGAACTCAGGGTCCAAGCCCGCGCCATTAAATCCAACCAACCCAACTACCCAAATTCCTAACGGGTCCAGGATCTGGGTAACGGTTTCAGGGTTATTGGATCTAACCCAATTGAGCATCGGGTTTGGTTTTGGTTTCACTTCTTCCCCGATTCGTGTCACAATCCATTCCTCATAAACCCTATTGGAGTATTCAATCCGACTCCGCCGTTTTCCAAGGAAAGAAACTTCAATATCGACAAATTTCTGTAAGACCCACTTCCAATTATGCTTCACTTTTGGTCCTACTCCGCCGTTTTATGCTGCTTTTTATGTTGGATCTCTGTATTTTCATGTAATCCATAGCGTTTGTTGCCTGATTTTTGTGTTCCTTCATGAATCTGTGTCATCTCTGCTGGAAACTGTGTCCGATATTTGCTTTTTCATCAAAATGTGATCATTCTTCCATGGATTTTTCCCTCCTACTCGAGAGATTTTAGTTGTTTCTCTTGATTTTGTAATCTATTTTCCTCGTGATAACGATTGACAACATGGGATTTTTAACTGTGATCTCTGTTATATCGATACTGTTTGACACTGTGCATCTATTAGGTGTTTGCTAATATGAACTGACTGCTTAATTTCTTTTAACACTTACTATAAATTGTTTGTTGTACAATTTCTTAGTTCTTTTCCTCCCTCTCCTGATAGATGGAAAAGGGCATTCTTAAGTATTAACAGTTATGATGAGTTGAAGGGTTTGGCCCAAAAATGAGAGAGTTTTAAGATCTTAAGAACAATTTCTTCTTAACATTCAAAATATTTTTTGAAGTCCTACCTCATTTGCTCATTTAGTTCATGGTTGAATCGCTTTCCATTCTTTGATTCTATTTATTTGCAGTTTAGTTGTAGAGGTAACCTTGTTATGTATATCACTGTTATCGAATGTTCTATTATGTTGTCACGAAGAATAGGTTCATGTATTTCGTATGCATGTATTGGTATTTATTTGGTTCATAACTCTCGCTTATTTGGTTCATCTCTCATTTATTTGGTTTATAATCTTTTATGTTCATCTTCGAATTCATGGACGACATTAATGTTTCTATTTCTATATAAAGGGTTGTCTAGGATGGTTGAGATGCATAGAGTTTGAGTGTCATTTTGTATTTGTTGAGTGAACATTTGGGAGGAACTTTGTTGACAGACTTTCTAGTGTTAGAGTATGAGATATGCACTTTATAAACACTTTGATTATTGAGATTGGTTGCTCCATGTGGATGTAAGGGAATTGCTTCTCTCCGAACCACATAAACCTTTGTGTATCTTTGTTTAACTTCTGTTTGTGGGTTTGTGAGTGCGATCGATCTTGCTTCCGGTTTTGTTACAACACATTCCTCGGTGTGTGGACTTTCCACCAGTTTAATAAGTTTGATCAGAACCCGTGTTTCCTTGACACAACAATTTCAACATATTAAACCGGTGGAAAGTCTACACACCGAGGTACCCAATCTTGTCAATGATGGTCTCGTGATGTTATCGGGACTCCAATGTCAAGAATTGCACCCGAGTTGGCATTTAGTACCGGTGGTCGAGTTACCGTGGTCAAAGATTGGCTTTGTGTAGAACTAGAAGGTACGTTTGGGATGGATGAATTCTACTGAATAAGTGTTTACTTCTCTTACTTACAATTGCTTATTGTTTTTGTTTCAATCAGATCCAAGGCCATTGCCTATCACATCTTATGTGCCACTTCTGCTTGGACCCAATTAAATGTACAAATATCTATGCTCCAACCCCTCATTCCATTGTTTTTCTTTCATATCATGTTAGGTTGATGGATCTGTTAGTTTGTACCATGGCTTTTGATTGTCTTTGTGATTTTCCATGTTGGTCGGGGAGGAGAACAAACCACTATTTATAAGGGTGTGGAAACCTTCCCCTAGCAGACGTGTTTTAAAGCCTTGAGGGGAAGCCCGAAAGGGAAAGCCCAAAGAGAACAATATCCGCTAGCGGTGGATCTGGGCCGTTACAAATGGTATTAGAGCCAGACACCGGACGATGTGTCAGCCTTCTCGCTATTCCCCGAAAGGGGGTAGACACAAGGCGGTATGCCAGTAAGGACGTTGGGCCCACATCGATTGGAGGAAGGAAAGAGTGCCAGCGAGGACACTAGGCCCCAAAGGGGGGTTGGGGAGGAGAACAAACCACCATTTATAAGAGTGTGGAAACCTTTCCCTAGCAGACTCGTTTTAAAGCCTTGAGGGGAAGCCCGAAAGGGAAAGCCCAAAGAGGACATTATCTCCTAGCGGTGGATCTGGGCCGTTACAGTTTTTGACACTATAACCTAGTCCGTCCCAAATCAGCTATGTAGTGCACAATAGAACTGTAGTCCACTACTAGCAGATATTGTCTACTTTGGTCCGTTATGTATCACTGTTAACCTCACGGTTTTAAACGCGTTTGTTAGAGAGAGGTTTTCACGTCCTTATAAGCAATGCTTCCTTCTCCTCTCTAACTGATGTGAGATCTCACAATCCACCCTCTTGGGAGCTAGCGTCCTCACTAGCACACCACATGATGTCTAGCTCTGATACCATTTGTAACAACTCAAGTCCATTGCTAGCAGATATTGTCCGCTTTTAGTCTGTTACATATCGTCGTCAGTCTCACAGGTTTAAAATGCGTTAGTTAGAGAGATTTTCACACCTTGTAATGAATGTTTTGTTTCCCTCTTCAACCGAGAATGACTCTGTAAACCATTGTAATGAATGTCTAATGGACAAGGATGATCATTTATAAGGTTTTTTTTCTTTCTTTTTGTGTTCAACCATTGTGCATGAGATTGAACCAGCGACCTTTAATGGTAATTAATATTTTAATATATATTATCAAATCATAAAGATTATTTTATAATATTATGAAATATTACGAGTAATAATTAAAATTGTATATTTTCAAAAACCATAATTGAATTATATATTTTAATTTTAAAAAAAATGGATGGGGGTAGTTGAAAATTGTCACATGGAAAAATTAATTGGATAGACATAATTATAGAGAGAGAGAGAGAGATGGGGAGCTGCAAATGTAATGCTAGATGGCCTATGTTTTGGAGATTCTATACCACTCATTCATTTCCTTACCCACCCTGCCCCCACTTTCTTTCTCTTATATTCTTCTCCTCGACCCAACCGTCTCACGTGACGTTGTCGAACGTTTCTAAACGAACCGTTTTTTTCTTACCTGTTCTAAAACAAGTGTCGACTAAGAACGAACACATACAATGATTCGTTCTAAATCACTACTTTTACCTGTTCTAAAACAAGTGTCGACTAAGAACGAACACATACAATGATTCGTTCTAAATCACTACTTGGCTTGAAAATATATTGTATTGACCTCGATCTTGTTTTAGTCTTTGGATATCTAAATACTAATCTATTCTCGACCATCGTAGAGTAATAAACAAAATAAAGATAAAGCTTGACGAAGAAATTGAGATTATTATGCATCTATTATATATGCTATGATATCTTAGTAATTATACAAACTAAAAAGTGTAAGATCTTGAGGATGCGTATGCCTATGGCTTTAGGGTGTGAGACACCAAGAAGGTGCCAAAATATTTTATTGCTATTATTATTAATTTAATGCGAAATAAATATAACATAATTTAGAATTTTAATTTTCATATTCAACCCGTGTTTGGTTAGAGATATTAGACGATGAAAATAATAATAAGCATCAACAATGCTATATTTTTTGCAAAAGGTAGAGGTCCTCTTAGTATTCTTGCAAATTTTCACAAACAAAGTTAACGGAACCAATTGATCCTAACCAAGAGCTGGTTAGAAGATGAATAACTCTCAAATCGAACTTAGAATTTATGATGGTCACTCTTATATTCCAAGACGATTCACTTCAGAATTAGCTTGATCGAACCTAATCCAATGAATCGGTTTAAACATCGAACCTAAAGCAAAGTTTGAAAGAAAATAACACTCAAAGGGTTTCAAACACAAGGTTTTTGTATTCCATCGTAGCTTAAAAAATGAATATTACATGCCTTTAAATAGACCAAAAACATGATTTGAACCTAATGCAATTCAACTACTCATTACAAACTACCAATTTAAAAGGTAGTTCACATAAAAATCTTCCACTCACTTTGAAAGATATTTATTGTCACTTTATTCTTTTTTTTTTTATTTGATACTTAAATCTTATTTGCATTGCTTCCTGTAATTGCTTTTTTGAATCATGGTTAGTAATATGTTTTTCTTTTTATTCCTAAATTTATTTTAAATATAATTAATTAATTAGTTAATTTGATTTTTCAATAATTATAACTAATTACTTATTTACTTATTTATTTTAAATATATATTTAAAATTTAAATAATGGGATTTTTATTATTATTAATTTATAGGTTTAAAGCAAAGATCTTGAAATCTTTTGGTCGGCAGGGGATTTCTCCTCTCTGGCCGGCAATGTTTGGTGGCTATCAATATACCCCAAAACTTTTATTTTATTTATTTATTTTTTTTTTCCTTTTTTTCTTTTTTTTTTTTTTTATTTTCTTTTTTTTTTTTTTGTATGGAAATGTATTTGATAATTAATGTGTTGTTGTTCTACAAAATTTTAAATTATGAAAAAAAAATTAAATTTATATGAGAATATAAGTTTTTAAAATTGTAATATCCTTTTTAAATCAAAACTAAAAAAAAATAATGATTTTTACGGACAAATCTTAGAGATAGTTTAGAATAAGAAAATCTAAAATAGGTATTAAAGGCTCGTGTTACTGCAATCTTCACATCGACTTTCAAATAGGATGGAAGGCATAATCCTTTAATTTTCATATATCTTATTAAAAGTTTCACATATTATATTGTAGTTCCACAATCTTCTTTGATGTCCGATTTTCAAGAATTTGGATCTGGGACCAAAACTAAAAATATGAAAAAAGCAAACAGAAAAGTAAAATAAAACATAAAAATTCGATAAAATTAAATTTAAATGAAGATAAACACCACCAAAATTAGATACAAAATAATATTTAATTTTTTATACAGGCAAAAATCAGTTGGGATATACAAACACAACTAGTGAGCCAAACACCTTATATCGTATAAAGTTATATTATTGGTTTAGTAATGCAATCACACACAATATATGACTGTGACCTATCTTTTAAACCTTAACATGACCTTAGGCTTTTTTTAATTCTTTGCAAAGTGGGATGCATGGTACTTTTCTACACACGG